AAACAAATGACGGCCTTGAGACTTATTTAACTACAGTTGACCCTTGAAAAACATGGGTTTGAACTGCAAGGTCCACTTATACATGGACTTTTTTCCACCTGTGCCACCCCTGAGACAGCAAGACCAACCCCTCCTCTTCCTCCTCCTCCCTAGCCTACTCAACTTGAAGATGACGAGGATGAAGACTTTTATGATGATCCACTTCCATTTAATGAATAGTAACTATATTTTCTCTTCCGTATGATTTTCTTAATAACATTTATTTTATCTAGCTTACTTTATTGTAAGAATACTGTCTATAATACGTACAACATACAAAATATATATTAATTGCCTGTTTGTGTTATCGCTAAGACTCCTGGTTAACAGCAGGCTATTAGTAACTAAGTTTTGGAACAGTCAAAAGTTATGTATGGATTTTCAACTGCATGGGGTTCAGCACCCCTGGTATGGTTTAACTGTGTCCCCACCCAAATCTCATTTTGAATTGTAGTTCAATAATCCCCAGTATCATGGGAGGCACCTGGTGGGAGGTACTTGAATCATGGAGATGGGTCTTTCCCATGCTGGTCTCGTGATAGTGAATAAGTCTCACGAGATCTGATGGTTTTATAAGGGCAGTTCCCCTGCACATGCTCTCTTGCCTGTGGTCATGTAAGACAGGCCTTTGCTCTTCCTTTGCCTTCCTCCGTGGTTGTGAGGCCTCCCCAGCCATGTGGAACTGAGTCCATTAAACCTCTTTTTCTTTATAGATTTCCCAGTCTCAGGTATTTCTTCACATCAGTGTGAAAATGAACTAATACAGCCCCTAACAAAGGTCAGCTCTAATACCAAGACATGCAAAGGGAGCTTGGTCCTTCTTTCTTCTGTTCTTTGTCTTTCTTTCTTTCTTCTGTTAAAGACCCTACCATGAACCCAAGACATCCCGGTTGATACAAACAGAAAGATCAGGAGAGGATTGTAAAGGGAATGACTTTCTTTTGATGTGAATCTACGTTATTTGATCCTCATGCAAAAGGCAATTGTGTCTCAACTGTTGGGTAACACTGCCCCACAGCAACCAGTGGCAAGTAGCTACTGACTCAGTGTAATACCCTCAAATTATGTCTTTGAGATTAATCTCAAGGATCATAGAAGACACTAGATAATTCTAGAAGACACTAGAAGATGATTCTAGCATAAGGAAACATAATATCCACTCATGTACTAGCATGAAACATTTAGCCCTTTCTCAACAACAACAACAACACTAACAACAAAAAAGTCACTTTGGAAGGCTGAGGCAGGATGATCACTTGAGTTCAGGAGTTTGAGATCAGCCGGGACAACATAGTGAGACCTCCAAAATTAAAAAAATTGGTTAGGTGCAATAGCTCACACCTGTAATCCCAGCACTGTGGGAGGCCAAGGCAGGAGGATTGCTTGAACCCAGGAGTTTGAGACCAGCCTGTGGACATTAGTGAGACCCTGTAGCTAAAAACAAAACACCACACACACCACAGTTTTTTTGTTTTTTTTTTTTTTTTTTTAGACAGAAGCCTGCACTGTGTGGCCCAAGCGGAGTGCAGTGGCATGATTCCTCGGCTCACTAGAACTCTGCGGCTCCCCGGGTTCAAGCAATTCTCATTGCCTCAGCTTGCTCCCAAGTAGCTGGAATTGCAGGCACCAACCACCACACCTGGCTAATTTTTTTTTTTTTTTTTTTTTTTTTTTGAGAGGAGTCTTGCTCTATCGCCCAGGCTGTAGTGCAGTGCTCGATCTCGGGCTCACTGTAAGCTCCGCCTCCCAGGTTCACGGCCATCCTCCTGCCTCAGCCTCGCCGAGTAGCTGGGACTACAGGCACACCGCTGCCATGCCCGGCTAATTTTGTATTTTAGTAGAAGCACCGCGCGGTTTCACTGTGTTAGACAGGATATGGTCTCGATCTGACCTTGTGATTTCGCCCGCCTCAGCCTTCCAAAGTGCTGGGAATTACACGGTAATTTTTGTATTTTTAGTGGAGATGGGATTTCGCCCCATGTTGCGGTCCAGGCTGGTCCCAATCTCCTGACCTCGTGTGATCCACACACCTCAGCCTCCAAAGTGCTGGGATTACAGGCATGAGCCACTGTGCCCAGCCAAAAACCACATATACCTTTTACTTTCAAGAGAAATTGGTCTTTGCTAATACTCTTCACAAGGCAAACTGGAATTGTCCTTGGAATTGGAGATTGGGTTGGGAGAGAAGGAAAAGCACTTCTGTCAGAAGGTGGAAGTGCTGGCGCCATGTGTAAGACAAGCCCTGTGTTAAATATGAGCATACATGGCAGAATTGAGCCACAACCAGAGGTGTGTAAGAGCCTCAGGAAATAAAAATGAGATTGTCACTCAACAATAAATAATGTAGCAACCTACATTGTTTAAAGTACATATGTATTTTTGATTTAAGAGAAATTTGAGGTTTCCTGTCATGGTTAATGGTAGGGATATGAATTTTTTTTTTTTTTTTTGAGACGGAGTTTCGTACTTGTTGTCCAGGCTGCAGTACAATGGTGCGACCTTGGCTCACTGCAACCTCTGCCTCCCAGGTTCAAGCAATTCTCCTGCCTCAGCCTCCCAAGTAGCTGGGATTACAGGCATGCACCACCACACCCGGCTAATTTTGTATTTTTAGTAGAGATGGGGTTTCTCCATGCTGAGGCTGGTCTCAAACTCCTGATCTCAGATGATCCACCCGCCTTGGCCTCCCAAAGTGCTGGAATTACAGGTGTGAGCCACCGTACCTGGCTGGGATATGAATTTTTACAAAGTGAACTCTTGTCAAAAGAGGAGATAGTAGAGCAAGTTCTGGGTTTTTCTCCTGTCAACCACTAACTGGTTCACTTTTTATCTTGGTTACTTTTTTCCAGGTCATTCAGTCATTCAGTTTTGTAATACTCTTCTTTCACCCACAGAAAGTTTTTCTCTCTCACTTTTTCTTTTCTTTTTTTTTTTTAAGACGAAGTCTCCTCTGTTGCCCAGGCCGGAATGCAGTGGCTGATCTTGGCTCATTGCTACCTCTGCCTCCCCAGTTCAAGCAATTCTTGTGCCTCAGCCTCTTGAGTAGCTGAGATTGCAGGCGCCCACCACCATGCCTGGCTAATTTTTGTATTTTTAGTAGAGATGGGGTTTCGCCATGTTGGCCAGGCTGGTCTTGAATTCCTGGGCTCAAGTAATTCATCTGCCTCGCTTCCCAAAGTACTGGGATTATAGGTGTGAGCCACCCCACCTGGCTTCTTCTTTGCACAAATTCAAATGTGGCAAAATTAGTTGCAAAGATAGGAGCTAGTTTTAGGAGGCCTATATTCTAATAAAGCTCAGATTATAGAACTGTACATTTACAATTACTTAATGTTAAATTAATCTAAGACACTCAGGTACACTGATGCATGAACAAGAAATAGGGGTTTCAATTGATTAGTTAGAATGAGACTAGGTTATGCTGCAATGACAAACAAACTTAAAATTTCCATGACATATTACTGGTTCATGCTATACATCCACTGAAAGTTGACAGGGGCTTTGATCCTCAGACCATAAGAGACTCAAGCTGACATTGGCTCACTATCACGTTACACTACCATCTCAGCACACATCTCAAAGGACACTACAACAGGGCATGGTGTGGAGGACTCACAAACCAAATCCTCCTCACAGCCTAGTGGCCAGACCTAGTCACATGGCTCCAACTTAACAGCAAGAGCTACAAAAAAGAGGAGTACCAGAGATGGTGATTCTTCTCATTGCTACTACACCATGTTATTTGAAAAATAATCTGTGTTATGTGTAGACTGTATGAGTATTGCTATCATTTTAGAAACATGCTTAATGGACTTTTTATTAAAAAGTCATGATGGGGACAGGCGTGGTTGCTCATGCTTGTAATCCCAGCACTCGGGAGGCTGAGGTAGGTGGATCTCTTGAGGTCAGGAGTTCAAGACCAACCTGGCCAACATGGTGAAACCCTGCCTCTACTAAAAATACAAAAAATTAGCTGATCATGGTGGCAGGTGCCTGTAGTCCCAACTATTTGGGAGTCAGAGTCACAAGAATCGCTTGAACCTGGGATGCAGAAGTCCCAGTGAGCTGAGATTGCACCACTGCACTCCAGCCTGGGTGACAGAGCGAGACTCTGCCTTAAAAAAAAAAAAAATCATCATAGGAAGAGAGTTGTAGTTTCAACTTACACTGAGTTGAGCTTTGATATAAGAATTCTTGCCTAACGCAATGGCTCACCCATGTAATCCCAGCACTTTGGGAGACTGAAGCAGGAGGATTGCTTGAGCTCAGGGGTTTGAGGCTGCAATGAGCTATGAGTGGCACTGTACCCCAGCCTGGGTGACAGAACAAGACTGTGTCTCTAAAAGAAAAAAAAAACAACTCTTGTAATCACAGAAGTTTGTACATTTTCATAGGTAGTAGAATCATTGGGCTGGATGTGGTGGCTCACGTCTGTAATCCCAGCACTTTGGGAGGCCAAGGCAGACAGATCACGAGGTCAGTTTGAGACCAGCCTCGCCAACATAGTGAAACCCTGTCTCTACTAAAAATACAAAAAATTAGCCAGGCGTGGTGGCGGACGCCTGTAATCCCAGCTACTAGGGAGGCTGAGGCAGGAGAATTGCTTGAACCCGGGAGGCAGAGGTTGCGGTGAGTCGAGATCATGCCACTGTACTCCAGCCCAGGCAACAGTGCAAGACTCTGTCTCAAGAAAAAAAAAAAAAAGATTAGGATCACTGGAGAGCTGGTCCCTATCCCTCAATATTTTAGCACAGTGAGTCTGAGGTGCAGTCCAGGAATTTAAATTTTAACAAGCACTTCTGAGGCTTTTCATGCAAGTGGTCTTCAGAGTTTGATAAACACATGAGCACTGGTTTCTGTCTTCTGACAGTGAAGCGTCAAGGCTTCATCATGTGTGTGCGTGTGATTTTTTATTTTGATGAGCAGGGTGCTAAGAAGCAGATGGCTGTTACTTCTAGCACATGGATCTTCACAAGTTGAAAGGCTCCGTGGACATGGATCCCAAGGCTTCAAAGGTGTGTGGACAAAAGCAGCTGAAAGTGAGAGATAGTAGAAGGCACAGTGCAAGAAGCTGTGGAGGATGCAAAAGCCATGAGCGGGTGCGGAGGAAGAATGGAAATGAGGGTGAAAAACATCCCAGTGGACAAACCATGTCGCTGGAGAGAGGGATTAACTTATCTGGGTCAACATATGGTCTGGTGGAAAGAGAACATGCTGAAAGCATTCCACAATATGGCAAAGGATTTTGTGATGGTTTTATTTAGAACCACTTGACTGAGAAACAAAAATGGGTCTGAGAAGGGGCAAAGTCCTGCTGAACTCCCTGTCATTGGAAATGTGATCATTTGCTAAAGAATTAATCAGAGATGTACATGAGTACTTACGTTCAAAGTTTTTGCAGCATCTTTGTGATGATGAAAAATTGGAAATCACCTAAGTGTATGCCACTCAGAAATTGGTTAAGAACATTACACTTCATCTATGTGATGGGATGTTATGTAACCATTAAAAGAGATGCTGGCTCACACCTGTAGACTCTGTATTTTGGGAGGCTGAGGTGGGAGGATTACTTGAGGTTAGGAGTTCAACCAGCCTGGACAACATAGTGAGATCCTGTTTCTCCAAAAAAAAAAAAAAAAAAATGCCAGGTGTGGTGGTGCAATCCTTAATCTTAACTATTTGGGAGGCTGAGGTGGGAGGACTACTTGGGCCCGGGAGGTTGAGGCTGCAGTGAGCTATGATCATGCCACTGCACTCTAGCCTGTGTGACAGAGCAAGAACATGTCTCAAAAAAAAGTGGTATTGGAACATCCAGTAAAGGCAGCAAAATTAACAGGTTTACAAAATTTCCTTCTAACACTGACTGGAATGAAGAAAACAAAATATACCAAAAGAAACATCCTCTAACCCTGTATCTAGGAAATTTTCCCAACCTCATACCACAGACTTCAAGACATCTAAATCCAAATACAAGATACCCAATGCATCCAAATAAAAAACAATTAGGTCTGAATTGAAATACAATTCTGGGAACCAACCCACAACTCCTTTTTTGGAGTGAGCTGCAGCACGTGGTGAGAGAACGCTGAATTTCTAAAAAATCCCACTAATACTTCTCACTTCGGTGGAACAGGCAATAGGGGCCTGAGCTGGCAAGAGAAAAGATCTGGAATGTTCTGCTTGGGGCCCCTTTTCCCCTGCTGTACAGTTAAACATCAGTCCAAGGCCACAGTGGTGGGAGAGAGTACAGAAATAGGCATCTAGCAGCAGTTGTCCCTGAGGGCCAGGCAGCTACGACATAGCAAGCTGGCTGGAGAAAAGTACTTATGGCCACAACAGACAAGGCGTTCACACGCTGCTGGGCTGGGATCCAGCTTCATATCTGATCTGCCAGAGAGGGGAGACAAACCCAACCCTCCAGATCCACTGCCCAGCTATGGGACAGGGTAGGTTCTCTATCCATTGGATGGGGACCCTAGTCAAGGGTTTCATCAAAATTAGATATAAGATGAATGGAAAAATAGGCTAGGCGTGGTGTCTCATGCTTGTAATCCCAGCACTTTGGGAGGCCGAGGTGAGCGGATCACTAGAGGTCAGGAGTTCCAGACCAGCCTGGCCAACGTGGTGAAACCTCATCTCTACCAAAAAATAAAAAAATTAACTGGGTGTGGTGGAACATGCCTGTAATTCCAGCTACTCAGGAGGCTGAGGCACGAGAATCTCTTGAACCTGGGAGGCAGAGATTGCAGTGAGTTGAGAGTGCACTTGAGCCTGGGCGATCGAGAGAGACTCTGTCCAAAAAAAAAAAGGAGAAAGAGTTCCTAGCTTTGACTGCACGTAGACCCACTTCCCTCCCCACCCTTCTCAGACAGCTTTGGGACCAACGAGTAAAAGTGATTTTGATCCAAGCCCCAGCTCAGATTCCACAGGGAAGATGCAAATTGCATACAGGGAAACAGAGAGACAAGCAAAAGAGACCACATCAGTATTATTTAGGGGGAATAGTGGGCCCATGGAGAACTGCCAAGCAACAAGAAACATAGTGTGGTCTATGCAAGAATTCTGCCTCTCATCTAAAAAACAAGGAAGAGGAAGAAAGGAGCTTAAAACATGCAAGACAAAGAATTCTCTCTGGAATAAAATTTCCGAAAATTGTTTCTACTCCCAAGTAAATTAAGAAAACACATAAAATCAAAATAACAGAATGGAGAGGACTGCAGATCTCTGAAATACCTGGTACTTAAAGATACACAGTAGGTGGAAGAGACTCCTCATTGTCTCCCGTTAGGAAGGGCTACATACATTTTATGAAGCTGTGACTTTTTTTTTTTCTGCTTTGGGTCCAAGGTAGGGTCTTGCTCTGTCACCCAGGCTGGAGTGCAGTGGTGCAGTCATAGCTCTCTGCAACCTCCAACTTCTGGGCAGTCCTGTGCTTTATAGGATATTTAGCTCCACCCTGGCCTCTACCCTTAGACATTAGCAGCAGTCTCCTCTTCCCACACACTGCTGGGAGAACTAAAAATGTCTCTAGATATTGCCAAATATTCCCTGGTTGTTGGCGGAGGGGAGGCAGGTAAAATCGCACTGGGATGAGAACCACTGTTTTAGAGATTAAGTAGCTTGCCCAGGTCTCAAAAGAAAGAAGAGTTTGGATTGTTTGTTTGTTTGTTTTAGTACTTTATTGTTGCTGGTTGTTTTTTTTTTTTTTTCCTTTTTAGAGATGAAGTCTCACTTTGTCACCTGGGATGGAGTGCAGCAGCATGATCTCGGCTTATTGCAGCCTTGACCTCCCAGGCTCAAACAATCCTTCTACCTCAGCCCCCTGAGTAGCTGGGACTACAGTCACGTGCCACCACAGCTGGCTATTTTTGTATTTTTTGTAGAGATAGGGTTTTGTCTTGTTGCACAGGCTGGTCTCGAACTCCTGATCTCAGGCAGTCCTCCCACCTTGGCCTCCCAAAGTGCTGGGATTACAGGTGTGAGCCACCACACTGGGACTGTATTTTGTATTTCTTTGATAACAAGGTCATTATTTTATTGTAGCCTCTCATTAATCATTTCAGTCCCCTTTTTTCAGGTAATTTTCTTTTTTATTTTTATTTTTATTTTTTTGAGACGGAATCTCGCTCTGTCACCCAGGCTGGAGTGCAGTGGCGCAATCTCAGCTCACTGCAAGCTCCGCCTCCCGGGTTCACACCATTCTCCTGCCTCAGCCTTCTGAGTAGCTGGGACTACAGGCGCCCGCCACCAAACCTGGTTAATTTTTTGTATTTTTAGTAGAGACGGGGTTTCACCGTGTTAGCCAGGACGGTCTCGATTGCCTGACTTCATGATCTGCCCGCCTCGGCCTCCCAAAGTGCTGGGATTACAGGCTTGAGCCACCGCGCCCAGCCTCTTTGTTTTTTTCAGACAGCATCTCAGTCTGTCACCCAGACTGGAGTGCAGTGGTTCAATCATAGCTTGGTGTAATCTTGACCCCCTGGGCTCAAGGAATCCTCTTGCCTTGGCCTCGTGAGTATCTGGGACTACAGGATGAGCCACCATGCTATGCAAATTAAAAAAAAAATTTTGTAGAGATGGGGGTCTCGCTTTTTATTGCCCAAGTTGTTTTTTTTTCTTTTAGATTCAGGGGGTGCATATGCAGGTTTGTTACATGGGTATGTTGTGTGATGCTGGGGTTTGGGCTTCTGTTGAACCCATCACATGAGGAGTGAGCATAGTATCCCATAGGTAGTTTTTCAACCCTTGCCTCCCTCCCTTCCCTATTTTGGAGATGCTAGTGTCTGTTTTTCCTCATCTTTATGTCCATGTGTACCCAATGTTTATCTCCCACTTACAAGAACATGAAGTATTTGCTTTTCTGTTTCTGTGTTGCTGCAAAGGACATGATTTCATTCTTTTTGATGGTTGCAGGAGTTAAATTTTGAATCCAGGTCTGAATCAAAGCTTATGCCTTTTGGCCAGGCACAGTGGCTCATGCCTGTAATTCCAACACTTTGGAAAGCTGAGGCAGGCAGATCACTCGAGGCCAGAAGTTCGAGACCAACCTAGGCAACATGGTGAAACCCTGTCTCTACTGAAAATACAAAAATTAGCAGGGCATGGTGGCACATACCTGTAACTCCAGCTGCTTGAGAGGCTGAGGCATGAGGATTGCTTGAACCTAGATTGTGTCACTGCACTCCAGCCTGGGCAACAGAGCAAGACTCCCTCTCAAAAAAAAAAAAAAAAATTAAAAAGCTTATGCCTTTTGCCGTCATGCACTGCCCTGTCTTTCCCACTTCACCTCCTGCACGCCTCCCCACTGCCTTCAGGTATGCTGTACTCTTCCTCCTGCCATAGTTTCTGCCCTAACCTCAGCCTGGAACTTTCTTCCTTTCCCGATCCGACTTGGACAATTCTGATCATTTATCAACAGATAGCCAGAGTTGTCACCTAGGGCAGCCCCAACTCCAAATCCTAAATTCAATGACATCAGTCTCTGACCGCAGCCTCCATGCCCTCCACTGCCTGCCTCTCGCCCAGGCTCTGAGGAGTTAAGACTGAACGTGCTTGTGTGCCATGATTTGCCTAGAGCCTAGGGTATAGAAGACCGACTCTTGTTTGCTGAGTCAAATTAAGTTGAAGCCCACCGCAGATACTTCTCTATCTCATTGAGATAACTAGGACCTCAACCCTTCTTGTTTCCTTCAGTTATTCATTGGAAAGTTATTTGCCAAATACTTTCCCTTGCCACAGAGTCCCTGTAGCAGTCAGGGTTCTCCAGAGAGACAGAACCAACAGGCTTCATATATGAGAGGGGATTTATTAGGGAAATTAGTTCATGTGATTATGGAGACTGAGAAGTCCCACAACCAGCCATCTATAAGCTGGAAACCCCAAGATCCTGGTAGCATGGCTTAGTCCAAGTCTGAAGGCCTCCAAACCAGGGAAGCCGATGGGGTGTAACTCTCAGTCCAAGGCCAAAGGCTGGAGACCCTGAGGGACTGCTGGTATTAAGTATTCAGGCCAGGGAGCCTGAAGTTGTCATCCAAGGAAAGGAGAGGAAGAGTGTGTCCCAGCTCTAGCAGATAGATGGACATATTGGTCTTTTCTCTGTTTCTGTTCTCTCTGGGCCCCCAGCAGATTGGATGGTGACCGCGCTGAGGGCAGATCTTCCCTACCTCGTTTACAAAGACTCAGATGCTATCACCTCTGGAAACACCCTTGCAGACACACCAAAAATAATGCTTTACCAGTTGTCTAGGCATTCT